CGGGAAGGACACTCGTCCTTCTGGGACTGTTCCCCCCCCCAGCCCAGCTGGGCCCCGGAGCCCGCGGGACGCGCCACTGCTCCCGGCCCTGTTCCTCTGGGGAGAGGGACTTGGCTCGTGGCGGCCGGTGGGGGAGTCGCTGCGGAGCCTGCCCCTGCGCCCCGCCCTGCTTCCCTCCTGGGGCTTGGCCTGCGGGCGGGCGGGCGCAGGCCCCTCCTGGGGCGGGAAGGACACTCGTCCTTCTGGGACTGTTCCCTGCCGAGGCTGTGTGCACCCAAGCCTGGCTGGAGCGCCCCAACTTCCTGGGTGTGTCAGTGAAAGGAGAGCCGGGGACATCCCGGCCTCCTGGCCGCTCTCCTGCTGGTAATCGGCAGGAATCAGCACTTAAGTCATGGAAAGGCATCTGCAGTCTGTTCAAAGTGGTGAGTTTTAGGTGGTTTTTTAATCTTTGGAAAGAAAGAACCCTCATTTCTTCCCTGGAGAACTGGGCTGCTGGGATGGAGCCCTCGCTGACCGCCAAGCCCCGCCCCCGAGCGGCTATCCTGCTGGGGAGCAGCAGGGCTAGCGGAGCGTGCCGCCAGAGGGCTGGGCACTGTCCAGCCTGAGACACAGACTTGCGGAAATGCCCACAGGCAGGCCCCCGGCCGGGGCAGGGCCAGGCAGGGGAGGCCAGCCGGGGCCGCAGCTCCCCATTCCTCGCCCGACGGCCAGCCGGGAGCCTGTGCGTGGCTGTCCTCTGCCCAGCGTGGGAGGCAGACGCCGCAGGAGCTGACCACTGACGTGGGGCCAGGCGGGCTGAAGCCCAGGTGCCCACGGACTCGGCCAGCAGCCTCCGTGGCTCTGGGGGCCTGTGGCTGTCAGGCCTGGGGTGCTGGACATGGGGCTTCAGGCTTCTCCAGAGGCTTTTTTCCTCCTCAGATGACCACCTGGTGCCTCTGCATCCCGGGGGTCATCACTGTAACCCCAGGCCCCGAGGGTGGTGCTGTTCAGCACCCCCGGGCTGACCCCTGACTGACCCTCTGAGTTGGGAGCTGAGGACAGCAGCATGGGGCCAGCTGGCTCCCTGATGCTGGAGTGGGGGGATGGGTTTAGTTACTGGGGCTCGCCAGCAGGCGGCCGTCCTGGGGCCATCCTGCCCCCCCCCGCCCCGCCTCGCCCCGTCCATTCCCGCGGACCCAGAGGCACGTCTGCTGTCCTGCTCACGCTGCCCTGGGCTGGCCGGGCAGCTCAAGGCTCGGGCCCAGCCTCCTCTCCGGCACCTGCCCAGGAGCTGCCCGTGACGCCAGCACTGTTTCATTTTCCACTTGGGTGATCTTTGGTTTCTCTTCATAAACACGTCTCATAAAGATGGGTGAGGGCTGCGGCCTTTTTAGATTAGGGAAAGTAGGTGCCCTGAACGACTGGTCTGTGCTTGTCAACTTCCAGGAATCAGCTGCAGCTAGATGGGGCCTCAGGCCACAGCCAGCTTGGCCCTGAGACGGTGGACAGCCGGAGGGCGCTCCCGGGTCACTGCAGGGAGCTGGCCCGCAGCGAGGGCGCTGCTCACCCTCAGGGTGAAGCAAGTTAATTAATACATTTTTTAAAGCTGTATTTATTCATGCACACAAGAACTGGGGTGCAGGCCAGGGGTGCAGTGCGAGAGGACTCCCCAGGGCAAGAGTGGGGAGCGGAACAGGCCGATCCATTGAAAGCCATTGCTGAGGGGAGCAGCGGGGGGGCGGGGGGGCTGCTGCATCACTCCCTGGCCGGGGATGGACTCAGGCTGCAGTGGCCGCTGACTGCTCTATAGTCCTGAGACTGACCCCCGCCCCCAAGGAGGCCCTGATTAATCAATGTCTAACGTAACTTTAAAAATCAACCAAACAAAGCCGGGTTCGGGGCTGAGACTGGCGCACAGCCGCACAAACTTGGGGCTGCCAGCGTAAGCGCCGAGCCCTGGGGAGACCCCGGAGCCTGGAGCTGCCCGTTGGCGGGGTCTGTTGTGCTTTGTGGGGGCGGGGGTTGGGTGGCAGTCCCCTTCGGGACACTCCTGGGAGCGGCTGCTCCCCATGGAGGTGCTGGAGGGCCAGAGGCTGCAGCTCGGGCCCCCACCGGCAGCCC